ACCTGAAAGGCTGACTGCGCCATGAAATCGTGACCTTCTCGAAACTGTTCTAGCGGGTCTACTGGAAGTTGTGCCTGCAGCTGTGAGGCAGGGGTTGTGGTTCCAACATGCGGAACCTCCAGTGCACTATGGGTAAGACATCCGGCAGTGGTTGAGCGCGCCATAACCAGGTAGATGGACTTGACGTCGAGAACCGATTGCATGGCCTCCTCTAAGTCAGATGGAGTGGGGACACCTGAACGAGCACGCTTATGCAATCCCACTCGTTACTATGGAAGATTTCGTGGTAAGATTTCAAGCAGCTCTGGCAGCGGTCGATACCAACAATTTGTGGCGTCTTGAAAGGTGTCATGCTGCGCAACGCCATCTTCATTGAAAAGGAGAAGAGACTGCTTCGAACACGTGGCACTCATGGTTTAGGAAGGTGCTCGGTTCGAAAATCGGTCTCAACACCGTCTGTCCTGACTAAGGTTTTACGTCGGCCGCGCCATAGCTCAAGCGGTCAGGCGCTGGCTTCCAACTGCGGCGGCCCGGGTTAGATCCCGGGTCTGGTCAAGTGGGATTTGTGGAGGACAAAGTGGCGCTGGGGCGGGTTTTCTCCGAGTACTTCGATTTCCCTTGCCAGTCTTCATTCCACCAAATTCTCCACCATCATAATCACCCGGGGCAGGTACAATAGGCCAATCAGTGGCCGCCGTGCCGAGTTGACCCAACTGGACTCCACCCCCCACTATATGAATTTAAAAAGAAATTTTTTTTATAGCGTCGCACCATCAACAACAAAAATGCTTACAACAAACGATTACTTATCGTAATACTAAAACTTTTATTGTGATATTTCTATTAACGAAGCCATTAGGAGCAAGATTAAAGATGGTAATACCTGATAGGGTTTGGAGACGCGAACATATATATTTTCGTGGCTACCAATTGTATTATGTGGGGAAAATTTAAGGATAGATCATTTCAGAAAATCCGATCATATCCAAAGATAGACTAAGATATTCCTACAGAAATAATAATTAAGATTCTCCACAATTTTGTTCTCCGTCTGTATTAAGTTCACGATCTTAGTGGGCATCATATAGGATAGATTTTAGTGCAACAAACGGATTTCGAAATCGTGCGGAACGATCTCTGAAAGTTTCGTTAAACTGCGTTCAATAACTGAGGAGTTACGGAGATTTGAATGTGTCAGACAGTGAAAGAAATGTCACGTATGATTGAAAACGTCTACAGTTGCTTCGGAAAGAAAGGTTTGGCACGTATATTTACTAACTCTATTAATATGCCCTTCATAGCATGAATACATATACTTCTATTTTCACCAAGGCTCTGAATGTGCCAGACGTAGTCTACTTAGTTCTAGAGCGCCGAAATTCACGAAAGCCGCTGTGCGCTTAGATACGTCATACGTATCGACCCCCCTCCACCACACGATGAATTCATCGTGCCGTAAATCCCTTCAGTTGGATGACGTTCGGCCGCGCCATAGCTCAAGCGGTTAGTCGCTGGCTTCCCACCGTGGCGGCCCGGGTTCGATCCCGGGTCTGGTCAAGTGGGATTTGTGGTGGACAAAGTGGCGTTGGGGCAGGTTTTCTCCGAGTACTTCGGTTTCCCTGCAAATCTTCATTCCACCAATTGCTCCACAATCACCCTCACCTATCATCTGGGGCTGGTACAATAGGCCAGAAGTGGCCGCAGTATAAGGGAGTTAGTCCCACCCCACTAGCAATAAAGAAATAGATGCTGGTCATAACCTAGGGCCCTTTTAGCGATACAAATGAATTTTACATCGGAGAGTCTACGTAGTACTGGAAAAGCCACTGCTATACCTAGTTCGGAGGAAGAAATTAAACGCATAATCATAATATGAAATAGATGTTATTAGGGCATGTTGAAAATGATGAAATCTCAATTACTAAACAGGAAAACTAAATGCCAGCTGTATAAAACTATTATACGAGTACTTCCAACGGTGCTCTATGGCCTGAGAGCTGGATTTTGAGCAAGGCCCATGAAGCACTGCTTTGGAGGTTTGGAGAGAAAGATTTTAAGAAGAATCTATGGAGCAGTACAAAGTAGTGGGATCTGACGAAGACGATACAATCAGGAATTATATAGTATATTTAATGATGTAGATATAATTAAAAGAATAAAATTAATAGATTGAGATGGGCAGGTCATGTTATAAGGAGAGAAAATGAAAAATATTATAAAAGAATAATGATTGTAAAACCGGAAAGGAGAAGGAAGAAAGGTAGACCAAGAATGAGATGGACAACGTGGAGAAGGATCTGAGGAACTTGGGTGTAGTTAATTGGAGAGGAAAGGTACAAGAGACGGATGGCTGCAGAAAGTTTTTAGAGCAGACCAAGACTCACAAGGGTTGTACTGCCAATAATAATAATAATAATAATAATATCTAGTTTGTACGGACGAGTTAAAATAATATTAGTTCAACACCACAAAAAGCCGAAAGTTGTAAAATGTTTTGTACATCAACAAATATTATACAAGAGAAACACCATCTGCACGAGCCCTGCATCAACTAAAACATCAGCAATGACAAGAGTATGACTTAAGCTTATCATCCCATAATTATATGATTGTAAAATTCCACATAACGTATGTTACTCACTAACCATAGACTCAAAAATTTGTCCAACATATCATATAATCACTTTCTTACGTCAACAGAGGCTTAAGTGCTCCCTTCTGTACCAGCTGCAATAGATAGAACTATTCAGAGTCCTTATTTTTGCATCTTAAAATAAATGTTTCACAGAAAAATATTTTTCGACTCCGACTGGAATTCTCCATTTCAACACCAAGTTCACTGAACAAGATATATTACAGGAACGCTCCACAACAAATATTAGAAGCATATCACTGATATAAAGAAACACTGATTTCTTATTCTTGAAAGCAAGCACATCACTTGTCTCAGCGTTCATCCAATTGTCTGTTTGCTGAAAGAAATGTAATATAGCGACCACCGTGCAGAAGTAGCATGGCGCAAAGGACACAGCAGGGACAATATTGCACCAAGAACCAAGAAAGTAGCAAACTTCACATCTTCAAAGTTTGGCGCACTTAGAATCATTTCACACTTTAATTTAAATTTCAGTATTTCGTTGGGCACATTTTCGTTTAGGAGTCTTAATGAGTTAAGGTATTTTATTTGGAAAGCTTGGTTACATACAAAGGCTTCAAAAATTATATTTAAGTTTAAATAAAATTATTAATGCTATGTTTTCAGTACACGGAATGTAATAAAAAATTTAAAAATAATAATTCATATTAACATGTCGAAATAAGTGCCCGCCAAGAAAAGTAACAACATAAGGGGAAACACATTTTCATATCCGCCCGGAAATGAATAATTTATTTTCCACCACAGCCTCTCTGGTCTGTGCAGTATATATAATGAATTTCAGTCGTTTCTTCATATTTTTCACCCTTACTTGATAATATTTTTGCTGATTTTTTCATAGTGTTGCAAGATTTCTAATGAACTTGACTGGGGATAATTAAATAAACAGATGTTTTATGTTTTTAGTTAAAAATAAGTTCTTTAAAAATTAGAATTATTTCTTTGTGGGCCTAAGATACCTCATTTCTTTTTCCGTTCATCCTGAATTAGATCTTTATCTTTTTCAATTAAAAAAAAGTTTTCCAATATTATTTCTGTATAATGGTTTGCTTTTTAATTTGTAATGGCAAAAATTTTAAGGCCAAATAGGTAAATATAGATTAACTCTTTGCATATAAGTCGTCTTCCTTCGAAGGCTGAAGTCTTCCCTTTGCGCCCATTTTTAAGGTTCTCTGTGCAATTTCCTAAACAACGGTAGCATTTTTATTTTATATATCACATCTAAATATATTATATGATCGTATGTCTGGTGACCACCATTAATTACAAAATTCCGACTCTTTATTTTATTCTTGCCAGTTTAAGCTCCTCTAAATATGGACTCTGTTTCAGGTCCATGGGATAAGTTATATGGAGAACATTAAAATTCATAATTTGCTTTAAATTTTAATCCGAAATACGTTTCGTATAAGATATTTCATGTATAAATAATATTTACAGTGGACAAATTTTAACTGATAATTTAATTAACGAGGAATAAATGTTTTCATAATTCTTGAATGTCACTAAGAGACCGGCTATCTAAAAACGTTACCTTAATTTCGGTCTTTGACAGTCCCATTACAATATTCGAATTCGGCCTCTTAATAAACTACAACGGGATAAAGGTAGGCGCTTTGGTCTATCCTACAACGCTGTTCCAACATATTAATGAACGGACTAAAGCAAGTAAGTATAAACTATAATCAGAAGAGACCTCCTCAGTACTGAAGAATTCTATCTTCTGGAATATAAGAAGATGGAAGCGACATGTTTATCCGAAACATCAACTGAATTTCAATGTGCTACTTGGCGTTATATATCAGGAGATACAACTCTCCATAACCACTGCTGTGAGAACCTCAAATCCTTCATAATCTGCATTGCACTCCCAACGCCTGTCTCGAGGGATCGTGGTAAAGAAGCATAAATTATAATCTGGGCATACGAGCAGACTTGAACTCATTCTATAATGCAGTCCCAAAATCTGACTGTAGGGTCTATAGTAGCATACCGCAAGATACTACCAGAGTAGATGACCAGACTTTAGCTTCTTCTATTTTGTTGTCCCAACGCCCGAATAAATAAAATAAAATTACAGTCAGAGCAGACTACAAGACTTCAGCATATTTTTTAGCTCGGGAGCGGCCCGTGTATAGGCACTGCGGCGGAACTGCAGCACCCCCAATTTCCACATGATATTATCGATAACGTTTATATAATGAGTCCTTTTTTCTTTAATTCTTTCTTTATACTTGTACAATACAATATATAAACCTTAAGCTTAATGTCATTAGCCAAATCTTTGTATGGAACTGTGCGCTTCTGGAGCAGCACCCCCACTAATTTTAGCTACGAGCCGCCACTGCTTTAGCTTTATCCTAATTGAAGGAACTGCAGTGAAAGGGTATAAACTCTAATCAGAGAAGGTATGTTCAACAGCGTTGCGCCAACAGAAGATTGAAGAAACTGCAGTAAACAAGTATAAACTGTAATCAGAGCAGGTACGTTCTACAGTGTTGGCCCAATACAAGATAAAAGAACTGCAGTAAACAAGTATAAATTCTAATGAGAGCAGGTATGTTTTACAGCGTTGTCTCAGCACCTGAATGCAGGCACTATAGTAAATTTGTATGTCTTGTAATCTGACCAGCCCCTCAGATTTATATAGAAGATATTTTAAGGTTTAAAACAGTAGTGTCTGTCTTCCTCATCACCTTCTTCGTCTGTGTACAAAAAGCAATATAATTTTACTAAATGTCAATATTTTAAGGTTTAAAAATTGTAAACTAATCATGACCGTTATCACTTATAATTGAAAAGCAATGATATTTCAGATTTCTTCATATCCCAACTAACTTCATGGAGCAGAGTCCATCTTGGGAAACGTATAGTCCCTTAACTTCTCAAGAAATCTATGTTTTTAATTTTCAGTCACTGATCCCTCACCTGAGCCACATGAATCCAACCCATGCCCAATCCATTTCTTTCCCCTTTCGTCTATGCAAATTTTTCAAAGTAAATTCTTACATTCAGATTTCCCAACTAAATTCTGTATGTTGCTCTCAGCTCCCTGTTTACTACATCTTCTGCTTATCTCATTCTCTCTGACATCATCCTAATAATATTTCGCGAGAAGTATAAATAACTAAATCATTATGCATTTTTCATAAGCCTCCTGTTCCTCCCTCCTTCTTAATTCCAAATATTCTCCTCAGCAGCATATTCTTAAATATCCAAAATATATGTTCTATCCTTCTAATGGGTTTAATGTAATACTTTGTCACGTGTTTTGGAATCAGATATTGGTAATGCACAGATTTCTCTTTCATTTCTTCATATCTTAATAGGTATTCAGTTTATGTACTTGAGATTAATTCCTTATATTAATTTATTATGCATTATTTTTGTAATAATCCGTCATTGGTATGTTCTTGTACCTGTGTACATCAACATAAGGTTGTAAATAACGTGAAATTTTATGACAAATACAACGTAAAGAAACTTCCTTTACTTTCTACGGTTTTTGTCATAGATTCAAATAAAACCTTCACTTTTATCCAGTAGACTTCAGAAAATAATTCCCCAAGAATAGTTGTCTCGAGATAAAGGAATCAAACGAGGTGACTGAATATAGTATCTTATATTTTGTATCTATCCAATAATCACTCAAGCTATGAGGTAGCTCACGATATTTATCGATTACTCGCAACAAACGGGATGACTATCGTAATTCACTTTGATTTGGGGCAATAGTTGCGTTCGTTGGTTCAGTAAGCATGAGAGGAACGCCAACAGCTTCCACTAAAGCGCCTGTTATTAATCGCTCATTTTGAGTTTGTAATAATGATTGTTACACTTGCAAATATGAGAACCTTAGAGATACAAACTTGCTCCTGAGGTACTTCTCCCGTTTACCACACAGAACACTTATGTCGTGGATTCATGGGAGATCCCAAAGGACAGCTGAAAGCTTTTGCGAAGTCCCAGGAGTTCGATAGTGGGCCCAGTACTCTAATGGGGCCAGGAGAATGGACCGATGACCGTATCTTCGTGAGAGCGTCCTCTGGCCTCATAGAGCCACACCAGATCTGCGCATAGTTGAGGAAGAACAATTGGTCATGTGTGAGGTTGATTCCAGGAAGGCTCGGCTCTTCCCCATGTTTCGCTACCCATTTCTTGTAAGCCTGCGTGCGTAAAAAGTAAAATCATCAATACTATAATTTTTATAGTGAAAACTATAAAAATTTCACTAATTCTCTGCATAAAATAATTGATTCATTTGAAGTTATATTTAGTCCACAAAAGTGCTGAAGATATTAGATTGTTCTGCAGTTGAAGTGAATTTGTCACTGTGTTTAATTAAGCACTGAGCTATGAAGAAAAATGGTGGAATGGAAGCGTAGGTCGATGCATTCTGTCCACGTTCGAGAAGGAAATATATGGTGAGCTTCACGTCTGTGCTGCTGTACCACTGAGGAATGAGCTCCTTGGTAAAATGGGGCTGTGTGGGCATCAGAAACGCTCTGGACTCTACAGGGAGAAGAGAAGAGATTGTGTCGTCCGGCGAAAATGGATTACAGATTACCAGGTCAGGTAGTTTTGCATGTAACAACTGTCCCATTGGTACAATTTAGCCTGCAGCAATTTACGCGAAACTTAAATTTCTCTTCAATGGTTCAGGTTTTCTAGTTGAACAATTTTTTTTCTTTTATTGTTAGTGGGGTGGGACTAAGTCCCTTGTACTGCGGCCACTGCTGGTCTACTGTACCAGCCCCAGATGATAGGTGAGGGTGATTGTGGAGAAATTGGTGGAATGAAAATTGGCAGGGGAAACCGAAGTACTCTGAGAAAACCTGCCCCAACGCCACTTTATCCACCACAAATCCCACTTGACCAGACCTGAGATCGAACCCGGGCCGCCGCGGTCGGAAGCCAGCGACTAACTGCTTGAGCTATGGTGCGGCCTATAGTTGAACATAAGTCGATTTCTATGTTTTGAAGCTTTAGAGGGGACAGTGTACAATGAAATACTTTCGGACGAGCAGACTTGTAATTATGGAGTTCGTGTCAAACGTTTCGGAATCTGTCTAGTTACAAACGTCTGGAGAATGAGACAGAGAAAGTCTCGGAGTTCGAGCACCAACTTCATATTGATACGGCCGATTCAAAACGGGATATCTCTTGGTAATTCGTCCATGATATACAATCCGATACAACAAATTCTGGAATTTGTTGCTGCGTTTCTTTAAGCACTTATCATAAGCTGTTAGCACGAAATGAATAAGAGGATATACACGTATCATAGGGAAGTGATGTCCGCCTGTCCGGGTATCTGTTCACATGTGCCGCCTTCAATTTCGGGGAGATTTATTGTTTGGAGAGGAGTCGAAATAGCTCACTCGGTATAGATAAGGGGAAAGTGATTTTTGCTTTCTCCACAGCTCCAGAGAAGCTTTTGGACATACTCAGTCTCTCCAATGGATACAGGGAGCTCCTTTCCTGGGGTTAAAGCGGCGTAAAGCTGACCATTCACCTCCATCTAGCGCCGAGGACAAGAGTATTGGATATATACTTCCACTGAACCATAAGCCTTCATGGCATCTATCTATCTATGACTCTATAGCTCTTTATTGGGCTTTGGCCGCTTTTTCAGTTTCTTGATCTTTACACCATCGGTAGGACTCCTTGGACGGGGGATCAGCCCGTCGCAAGGCCGCTACCTGCACACAGGACAACACAAACAGAATAAACGCAAATCAACATCCATGCCTCAAGTGGGATTCGAACCCACGATCCAAATGTTTGAGCGGGAGAAGATTATTCGTGTCTTCGACAGCGCTGCCACTGTTATCGATACCTTCATGGCATAGTGCTTAATTAATTAAGCCCATGGACAAATTCACCTTTTACATTTAATATTTGGAACCTGAATTATAAATGAAACTCTCATGTGGATTCAAATTTCCTTCGCATCTGCAAAACCCGAAATTTATACAAGCAGGGTGGAACCTTATATCGTTATCAAGAAAGACTCGTCGTTAAAGTAACGGGCAATAGGTTAATTACTCAGATATTCAACGACTCTGCCACTAATGTGACTATACAGCGTCAAAGATAGGATGATTATGAATGTGGAGCAGTTGATGGAATGAAAATTTGCGATGTATTGGCAGAATATCCGCTCCGGCGGCACTCCGTCCACTATAAATCCCACAGTAACTGGTCTGGAATCAAACCCGGGCCGCTGCATTGGGAATCCTGGTAGTATACACCTGTGCTATGCAACTGCCTAGAAGATTAATTAAACACACATCCCAATAAGATTATTTCAAATACACGATGTGGAGCGCAAGTAACAAGAAGGGGGGAGGGCAAAATAACAATTCCGTCTTATCATAATCGTTCGTGTCAACCACAGAATTATGTATTGTTGCACGCCTAGTGTTCATTTGTGCCATAAGAGTTCTTCAGAAACAGATGTTTAACATGAAATAAACGAACTGATTTGTGTCTGACTTATTAACTCAAGTACATGTAGCAGAGTCCTTGAGAAGCTAACATTTGCTTAACTCAACAAGAAATTGCTCTCCGTTTAAGAAACCCGAAAGTTCATTCCCATTTTCAAAGAACCTGACACGGAGTTTTATCCTGCCTTAAAATCATATTCACATTTCTTGTCTTTAATACGCACTTCAATGTTAATCTCCCATCTACATCTGTGTTTCCCAATTGGTTTCTTCCTCTCTATCTAACTAAATAACTTCACCGCCAGAAGCGGAGCTATTAAACATTTTCTCTACTTTTTATGAGACCGGAAGTTCATTACCGTGTTCAAAAGAGCCCTCCAATAGTCCCTAACCTGAGCCAGATGAATCCAGTTCACACAACTCCATCGGTGTCTTCCTTTCAAATGTTCGAAATAAAATCGCATGTTTCTAATCTTCCATATATGTGCCATGTGACCCATCCATTTCACCCTCCTTCGCTGACCATCATAACCATCTCATATAAACAAACTCCGTGGCCTGTAATCCGCAAGCGAACTATACCGACCGAGCGACCGCCGCTTGTCGGCGAAGTGAGTGGCAACTTGTGCGCATAGAGGGTGTCACGTCAGCGCAACGGATACCCACGGCCGTTAATCTCGGTTTCCTAGACCGGAGCCGCTATTTCCTTGAAAGAGCACCTCAATTATCCTCACGAGGCTGAGTGGAACCCGTTCCATACCCACTATTTCTCATAAAATCTGGTAGCGCCGGGAATCGAACACGAGACATCTGGATCTGTAGCGAGGAACCCTGACCACTAGACCACAGAGGCGGTCATAACCATCAAATACGATAACAACATTGGAATAAAACATCGACCGTAGACCACCACATATTATAACATCATGTTTGCAACATAATATCTAAGTGTATTTTATAATTATAAAATTTTTGTATTTTATTTTATAATATTAAATCTATTGTTATATTTTATGCCACTGTATGAACATTTGTATATACCAGTTAACACAAAGCTTTAACTTAGGCAATAGGTATATAAGAAAGAACAACAATTTTAGCAATTTAATGGAATGCTAAAAATCCCACTTATTGGCAATAATTTTAATATTGTAACCTATACATATATAGACAGCAACTCCATAGTTCAAGAATAGCTAGTAATGTATGACTGCCTGATGATGACTTCCACAAGCCTAAACATGTAGCAGGACACCATCGAGATCAATAAACTCGTTGTACTCATACATAGTTGATGTGAACAAACCTCTCAGTGTTGTGTTGCGACGGATACAACACACAGTTCATAATTGTGATCAAGTTTTGAGAGTTAATCAGTTTCTAATTGAGGAGGAGGAATTCCTCATCTCCTGTGGCCGCAGTAATGTTTGCCCTGGCCTTACACACAGCATTAAACAACAATGATAGAGAATAAGTAAAAATAAAGGTGGTTCAATTATAACGTGGGCCTTATTCTTTTTCCTGAAGACGTGAGAACAAGTAAAATAAAATTCTTTTAAGGACACTTTACGATAATACTGTATTCACTGTGCGGCAGGTGGCCATGACTCCCGATTCTGCGGCACAATAGAGCTAATGAAAAATGGCGCCAGACTTTTTATTCCTAGTGTAGAACAGCGCTCTATTATCAGATTCATCGTGGAAGAGAAAATGAAATCATCAAACAATTTTCGTAGGTTAAATGCACGGTATAGGGAAAACCCTGTCATGTGCAAGTGTCTATGATTGGTAAAATATATTTTCTGAAGGCCATAAAGGAATTCAAGACACGAGTATCAGCTGGCAAGGTCATGGAATGTTTATTTTGAGATTCAGAAAAAGTGATTCGTGTTGATTTCCTTCCAAGCGGTATAACAATTAATGCACAGTATTAGTGTAACTCGCTTCGCAATGATGTTCACCAAGTGATTATGAATACAGAACAAAACCCGAGGAATTGTCAGAGCTCACCCTACTGTACAATAACGCCCGTCCACATACGGCAGATTTTCGTAAGGCGTCATTCGCAACAGTGGGCTGGGAAATAATGAATCACCTTCCTTACTTAGACCCAAGTGATTTTCATTTATTTGGACAAATAAAGGTGCGCTTAAGAGGGCAGAAATATCAGAATAATGATTAACACAAACGCGGTGTCCTGAACTAGCTATGTAGTCATGATACAATCTTTAGTTGCTGGCAATCAGTGACTTCTCAGAAATCTGGAGAAAATGTATTATTACAAATTCAGAGTACCTTGAAAAGGGGTGAGAATTTGGCGATTTCAGCATTTAGTGTTATTTAGGTAAAAATTCCAGGTTAATCTTGAACCACCCTATTAATATCGTGACAAAATAATGAAAGATCAATGTACTTACATGGGAGAATAATATTAAGTGGATGTTGAAGTTGGATGTGAAGATTGACTTGGTCGTGTTGAATTTTTGGGCTGATGGACTTACCCTGAAAGACTGCTTGAGTCCCCCGTTGTCAGCAATATTCTCACCCTGAGTCATACGGCCATTCACGTACAAATCCACCTCGTCAAGCTTGTACCTGGAATACTGGTCAATGATGCACTGTGCCCTCTCTCGGAAGGCGCGGATTGTTACATTGTTCCACCATTGCATCATGTTGCCGTCCTTGTCGAACTGCCGCCCTGTCATAGCAGGCCAAACACATCTTCAGTTCTGTTCAGTTATAATCCTCGACTTGTACTTTTAATATAATGTATCACGAGATTCAAGGTAAATAATTATATATACACGCAGAATAATGTTTCTATTGTTCATCAGCTCCATCAACAACAGATTACATCTTAAATTAACACGAAGGCCAATCATGGATACAAAATGGCGTAAAAAGATTTTAAACTTCAATCTGTGTTATGATTTTTCAGAAACTGTCGACTATAAACACAACGGTATCACCACTAATTGCTCACCTTTATCATCAAAACCATGTGTAATCTCGTGACCAATCACAACGCCGATACCACCATAGTTCAGAGACTTTGGGAAGTGTTGGCTGTAGAAAAGAGGCTGAAGGATTCCAGCCGGAAATACTGCAATATAAGTCACAGTTTAGCAAATAGCATTAGCGTGCGTCCGTAATTACTTGTCTAAAATATCTCTGAAGGCGCTGTATCATCAGTTACGTTGTGATTCGTCGTCATTATAAAGTTACTAAGTTATGTTTCAACATGTAACGGGAAACAAAATGGCCACACCGGTTACCTCGTTGTATATACACGGCTATTCTAATGTAAAGTTGCCTTTTCAAGAAATGACGTTCTCTCAGAGATGTTTTAGATAATGTTCACCGTGAATGGCTTCTTACAAGTGTCAGATGCTTCCATGGGCCCTCCAATTGTACTGAACCGGTTCATTCTCGAGAGAATCGGTTGATTAATTGGGAAAATCATTCTACGTTATTTATGGTACTCGAAGATGAACACACAAGCCTGAACCAGCTGAATTCTGTCAAAGTTCTCACCTCCTGTTTCTTTAAATTCCATTTTAATATTATATTCCTAAGTACGCTCAACTGTCCCAGTGGTTTCTCCTTCTGCTATGAAAATGCACACGAGTGCCACATGCGTCGCTTATCCGATTCGTTTTCATTTGTTTATCCGGGAAAGTATCTGGCAACAAGCACGAGAGATGAGGTCATAGCTCAGACGTTTAGGTGCTGGCCTCTGACCACAGAGCTTCGGGTTCAATTCCGTGTGACTTCATGTGAGATTCGTGGTAGGAGATGTGAAGGAGGTGCAGGGTTCTTTGGAGTTTATTCCGTTTTCCTTTGCTAATCACCATTCGTCATTATTACATACTGATGTATCAACTGATATGTGCAGTAGCCCTGCTTGAGTAGCACATTATAAAATCAACTTTCAACTTCGACCCGGTACTTGATTAATTACACAGTAAGGAAAGTTAAGGATGTATAGGATATAGCCGCGCCATAGCTCAAGTGGTTAGTCGCTGGCTTTCCACCGCGGCGGCCCGGGTTCGATCCCGGGCCTGGTCCAGTGGGATTTGTGGTGGACAAAGTGGCGTTGGGGCAGGTTTTCTCCGAGTACTTCGGTTTCCCCTGCCAATCTTCATTCCACCAATTGCTTCACGATCACCCTCACCTATTATCTGGAGCTGGTACAATAGGCAAGAAGTGTCCGCAGTACAAGGGACTTAGTCCGACCCCACTAGCAATAAAAAAATGCTTTTTAAGGAAACAATCGCTTCTCAATTTGTGAATCACATGAAACATGTAAATGCACTGTGGGCAAAATGATGAGGTTCTTTATATTAAATTCTGTGGCATATTTATTAACTGCCGCTATATCCGCCACTGGATTATCCGGAAATTTCTATTAACCTGAAACTGACCAATTGTGTATACGATGATTAAAAGCGTAATAATGAAAAGGAATAGGATATGTGGCAGGGAAAACAGGACAGGATATCAAGAGACAAAGTTAATTTTTGGATCTGTCTATAAGTGTGCTACTAATAGGTAAAAACTATAAATTAAGACATCACATGGCCCCGGAGAAACCGGATATCGCATCTTGCACAGAGTAAACATTATGTTTTAAAGGACTACTGAGTTCAGTCGGGAATGTCTGCAAAATTATTTGCTCACCGATGTCATTTTTGTTGGGATTGTAGAAAGCGTTCACAACGGCGGGCTCTGTGGACCACTTATCCTTGTTGACAGGCTGACGTAGCTTCAGCAGGTTGTGGTATGCATCGTACCGCAACACGTTCAGAATGTTCACCAGGAACTTGTCCTCAGTCACGTTCAACTGTCAAAAGAGAGCGAAGTTACTGCAATGATAACTGGATGGTTGATGCAGTACCTGCTCAGGATGTACTCTATATGGGTGTGAAGCGTGGTCTCTTCCCTTAATGAAAGAACAAAATGTGAGAGTGTTTGAAAACAGGAATATTTAGACATAAAGGGCGCAAGAAGCGGGAGTCTCGAGAAAATTACGTAACGAAGATCTTCACTGATTATACTCTTCACCCAATACGTATTACTAAAGGTAAAGGTAGGGCCGCGCCATAGCTCAAGCGGTTAGTCGCTGGCTTCCCACCGTGGCGGCCCGGGTTCGATCCCGGGTCTGGTCAAGTGGGATTTGTGGTGGACAAAGTGGCGCTGGGGCAGGTTTTCTCCGAGTACTTCGGTTTCCCCTGCAAATCTTCATTCCACCAATTGCTCCACAATCACCCTCACCTATCATCTGGGGCTGGTACAATAGGCCAGAAGTGGCCGCAGTACAAGGGACTTAGTCCCACCCCACTAGCAATAAAAAAAAAGGTAAAGGTAAAGCTATCCCTGTAACAGGCTGTGGAGACCCATAGGGTTGTGAGACGTCGAGGCTCCCACATTTTCTATACAAATGACGGTAAGGTCGTCAGCCTTACGCTCCTGCCGCCCTTTACCCCCAGGAAGATTCCTGGTACTCATTTCTGTTAGAGGCTTAGTCGACCTTAGAGCCAGAGTGAAGCTGGAAGGATTAGGTCCACTGAAATATCCAATGACCTCATTAGAAATAGAAACCGCGACCTTCCAGTTTGTAGCACAGTGCCCTCCTATACCTACTGTTAGGGTGACCAACTCATGGAGGATGGGTTGGGTGGGACGGATAGCACACACCAACTGGATGGACTAGGTGTAGATGTGGGGATAATGCAAAAATTAGTTTTAAGTAAATAGAGGGGGGGTAGGATTTCGAGCCCCTGTAGGATCAAGGATTTTCTTTTCTTCACGTCGCCCACACCGGTTCTGTGGCCATCCAGCCTCCTGTCCATTGGATATTGGAAACTTTTTCTCCGGGAATAAAGCGGCCGGGCCGTGAAGCTGATCACTCACCTCAATATGAAGCCGAGGTGAAGAAAACCTGGATCTATACATCCTCTTCCTCATACACTTTCATGGCTTAGTGCTTAATTAGTTAAGCACAGAGACTATTTTACTTTTTTACTGGATATAAAACGCAAAACAGAAATATATGTATTTCTCGACATATCCTCCACCATTATTGATACATTTGTCCCATCACTTTACCAGTGCGTCGAACCCCGCAACATACAAGTCTTTTGACTGTTGTCTCAGCCACTTCCGCACCTGGTCGGGTATCATTTGCGACTTTCGACCGTCCTTGAGAGAATCACTCGACCCAGTTGTGAACCACTTTACGCAACAAACGCTTCCCACCGTAAATAGGAAATATTTCTTCATGAATATCCTTTGCACTGAGTCCTCTTGCACACATAAAAAAGTAGAACGGAACGCTGCTCTTCGGTAATAAACATCTCAAGCACGGTCGAAATTTTGACCACTAAAACCAGCCTCTGAATAGGCGCAAGCGCTTCTGCTACCTAGTCTGCCATGAAGCTTGACTCCGCTGCTACCTAGTGATACACACAGAAACCTTGTTAAGTTCATTACAGCTGCTTTACTTTAATTGGCGACTTATTTACTGACGTTCTCTCTTATTTTCAACATACTTTCGATATTCAACTCTGGAGGGAAAATCAGACGAGTTCACATGGGATAATTCTTCCTTAAGTTTACCTCTACATGCATGACGTAGGCTAGTTCATAGAGAAGACGGACTTGTGAAAGCCTTAGAAAGTGTTTAGGCGTAGGGGAGTGGCAGAATGCGTATATAACGTTGGTGGTAAAATCCTTTGGAGATTTACATCGCAAATAAATAGGAGGATAATATTACGGCTTGCTTTAAACTATTTCTATTGGCTCATTTTAAATAAATATTGGTTTAAACGGAGCCGTCTCCACAAAGCCACACGACTGATCAATGTTTTACAAAACGCGACAGAAAAGCTAGCGGTAAGGAAGCCCATGCCTGGGTCAGGTAGGATGCAAAAATTCGTGGCAGAAGCAGCGATTTACTCTGTTTTGCAATGGTGGACTGTGGTATCAGCAACATTCGGATTATGCTGCATTAGTGTTAATCGAGACGTTAACAATTTCACTGTTGTACGCCAGAGACTTTCATCGCTAGGGAAATTTCGCCGTTACGTTCATTACTGTGTTACAAGAACCCTCTTCTGGTCCATATCCTGAGCCAGATAAATCCAAACCATATCATCCCATTTAAATTATTCACAAAATGAGAAAAACAGTGATTTTCATACTGGAAGTACTGCTGACCCAATGCAGTATAGCAGTATAGGTTATTATTATTATTATTATTATTATTATGTACATAATAATAATAATAATAGTAAATGAAATTGAATTTGAAGTTGTCAGCGTGGTGGGTATGAAGTGCAAGGTCTTTCTGACTGTAACGCTTTGTAATTTTGAAAAATCCAGACATTTCGAAGGTAACCTCCGTTTTAGGGTTGAACAGTAAATCAAGCAATACATTGGCAACTACCTATCTCCTGCTTCTTGCTGCGCTTAATTTTCGACCCTGAAACGGAGGCTATATATTCCTTCGAAACGTCGGGTATTTTTCAAACTATAGGGCGTTATGGCTCAGAGAAGACGACGTTCTTCAATGACGTCTTTTATTTTTATTGAGCCTGTTCCACTTGAGCAAATTTATTTTGTCGTAACATTTTGGAAGTTTGTTCTGAAGAGAGTTGTTTCGAATTTCGGCCAGATTTTGGGTCNGCTATGTGGGAAGTAGCGGTAGAAACAGACAGATGCAAACTTTTTCTGGATGCGCTCAAGTTTTGCGGAGTCAGTAGACGTGATTAGTAAATGACATTGGATTTGAAGTTGTCAGCGTGGTGGGTATGAAGTGCAAGGTCTTTCTGACTGTAACGCTTTGTAATTTTGAAAAATCCAGACATTTCGAAGGTAACCTCCGTTTTAGGGTTGAACAGTAAATCAAGCAATACATTGGCAACTACCTATCTCCTGCTTCTTGCTGCGCTTAATTTTCGACCCTGAAACGGAGGCTATATATTCCTTCGAAACGTCGGGTATTTTTCAAACTATAGGGCGTTATGGCTCAGAGAAGACGACGTTCTTCAATGACGTCTTTTATTTTTATTGAGCCTGTTCCACTTGAGCAAATTTATTTTGTCGTAACATTTTGGAAGTTTGTTCTGAAGAGAGTTGTTTCGAATTTCGGCCAGATTTTGGGTCACGGGGGCTAAGGTTTTCGTGGTTTCTACAGCCTCTGTAGGCGATTTTCTGGTATAGCATAATGATTTCGAAAAGACCGGTTTATTCCTAACCATTATCCATAGTCGTCTTTTCATATTATTCAATTACATATAACTTATTATTGCACAAGAGCGACACTCAGTAATCAATAACGAGTTGCTTTTTCACATTTACTTACAAGATTTTTTTGCAGTAGTTACCACTAAGATATGCAATTAGACTATCGGAAGGCACATTTGACACTTGGTAAGGCGGTCTCACCATTACATATTCCTTGGTGAGCTCGTCTGGGTCAGTGAGAAGCTCTGGATAGCCGATGCGCTCGTTCATGGCGTCGGCTTTCTGCTTGGCGACGGCTCGCGTCTCGTCATCCATCCAGTCATTGTCTGCCAGCAGCTCATTGAACGCTTCCCGGATGGTATGAATCATCTCTAGGGCCGTCTCCTGAAACACGCGTCGCACCTGCTTGTCAGATGGGCGGACCTCACAGTCGGGGAACCACTGCAGGTAACACTGCGCTTTCCTGGAAACTCAGAAAGTCAGTATCATAGTCACTGACTCCATGGAACTCAGCTACTCACGAACTTCTTAATATTTTATGCAATCCGAAGGTTCATTGGCCTCGTTACAAGATGTGTCCATTGGTCCCTATCCTGAAACAGATGAATCCAGTCCATGTTAAATCTCATGTCCAATTTCCTTAGCTTAGGTCGTTTATCCAGAACATCCGTCCAAGTCGGAGGCCCTTTTATAACGCTTCGTAACATAATAATTTCTTAAGGGTACGGAAATTTGTATCCCCAAGCCTAACACCCTAAGTTCGAGGCCCACCACGACTGTTTATTCAATATATTCGCAGTTATCCTCTACGTCTGGAGGCCGTCTCTTCCATACGCAACCCAAGTACACGCCATGGCACAATAAAAAGGGATCCACTTAAGTCTGAACCGTTATTCCCCAGAAAAATTCTATATCATCTGTCCCTTCATTTGAGTTTAGATTGTCGTTTGAATTGTCCCATTCCCTTACACGGTGTTTCGCAAATCATTCCCCTGAGAAAGTAGCGTCAACAGCCAAGTCTGCACATCTCAGTTTTGGGGTTTGAACAGCTACAAAAACTGTTCTCGTGAAACAGACTGTCTTCCGAACTGTAATATTGTGTGGTCTGGTACGTCATTATAGCTTTAATGAAGGTAGCACTACCTCCATCTTCAGGAGAGAAGAGTAAGCCGTGTATGGCTGATGTAAGGGAGGGACTCAGAACAGGGAGTCTGGGAGGACCAGCAAGAGACGGCGTTGCTGAAAGGTGCAGACACACCGAGGGCAGATGTAAGGGGGAAGGGGAATGTAAGGACCGGGACGGAAGAAAAGTCTGTGAGAGAGGATGGACAGGAGTAGAAAAAATGGAGCAACAAAATGACTTCATAGAATGAAGTGAGTAGAGTAATGAATGAAATGACAGTAAAGAAGGAGCAGTTGTCCAAAGGAAAGAAGTAAAGAGGCATAGGAGGGTAGGAAGAATGTATAGAAACAAATGAAAAATAAACCAAAATGAAAAGACAAATAAAGTAAAGGCAAAAATATCCCTCTAACAGGCCGTGGAGTCCCATAGGGTCATGAGATGTTGAGGTTCCCACATATTCTAGACAATCGGCTCACAGATGGCGGTAAGGTTGTCAGCCTTACGCGCCAGACGCCCTTTACCCCTCAAGAATATTCCTGATACTCATTTCCGTTAGAGGCTGAATCGACCCCAGGGCCATATTGCGGCTGGAAGGATTAGGTAAATTAAAAAAAATCCACCTCATCGGGATACGATCCCGCGATCTTCCGGCTCGTAGCATAGTGCCTCAACCAACTACGCTACCGCATGCCCCCGAAAAGACAATTTTTTTTTTCCTTGGCACTACAGCCCCAGTGGGCCTAGGCCTACCTCCATGAACTTCTCCGTTCACTTCGGTTTTTCTAGATCTTAGACATTCGGTAGGACTCCTTGAGCGGGTGATCAGCTCGTCGCAAGGCCTCTACCTATACACAAACACAGAAAAACGCGCATACCCACAAACTAAACATACATGCCCTGAATGGGATTCGAACCCACGATACCGGTTTCCAAGCGAGCGAAGACAGTACATGCCTTAGACCGCTCGGCTACCGTGACCGGCCGAAAAGACAAATAGTAAGGGTTAATATTGAAATGAAAGTCAACAAATGTTCCTTTCAGTATATACTGAGTAATTGATGTGATAAGTGAGGCAAAATCTCATTATGTATGCGTAAGTAAGTGAACATAACACTAATGTATGCTTGATTTTTATAGAACCTAGATTGCGATTGAGTTACAATAATTTAACGTGGTAAAGTTGTTACCGCCGCTCACGGTAGCCGAGCGGTCTAAGGCACGTACACGTACTGTCTTCGCTCGCTTGGAAGCCGGGATCGTGGGTTCGAATCCCACTCAGGGAATGGATGTTTAGTTTGTGTGTGCGTTTTTCTGTGTTTGTGTATAGGTAGAGGCCTTGCGACGAGCTGATCACCCGCCCAAGGAGTCCTACCGAATGTGTAAGATCTAGAAAAACCGAAGTGAACGGAGAAGTTCATGGAGGTAGGCCTAGGCCCACTGGGGCTGTAGTGCCAGGGGGGAAAAAAGAGTTGTCACCAGAGCCTCGTCAGGAAGTACAGGGTGCACCACGAGGAGATGAAGATGGATGTAGGAGGGGAGAGGTTCTGTCGGAAAGGCTTCAATATTGGTATTACTGATGGGGAGATTTATGAATTATGCCGTTGAGTTGGCCTCAAGTTGACCAAGTTTGATGACCAACGACTAATGTATTCAAGAAATATTAATGTTTTGCCTCAGAAATTCGAGAGGCTGTAATGTTGGTATTACTGATGGAAGGGATTTACAACGTACGCCGTTGAGATGCTATGACAACATACATACCAAGTTTGATACATTTTGGTTCAGGCATTTAAATGTTGTTCGCACATACACACGCACACGCGCATGCACGTACACGCACACAGAGTAAAGCGGTCTCATGAGCCTACTTTCATTTTCGAAAATAAGAAAGTAGGTTAATAAAAATAAAGACATGAGATATTATGGAGTCGGGAAAGTGTGACGCTTCGGACCATTTTAATTATTAACTTCTCTGTGAATTATTTAAACGACATTAGAATGCAAAACTCCCACAATTACGCGCTCTTCTGGCAAACTTTCTGTAATGTCTCGCTTACGTCATTGTGACTAGACAGACAACATTTAGAAACTCGTGTGATGTAGTCATACTGAAAGCATTTCAAATGTCCTGAACTGCACTACATATATTCTGTATCACACAAACAATAGCAAGCAGCGACAACTGAACTTGCAGTTCATCAACACACACTGATGTAGCCTGCCTAGATTTTCCCCCGATTTCTGTGTATCCATTCAACAGATGTTATCTTCTCGTCCATCCGTAACGTCTAGCGAGCAATTGTGTCGCAAGGAATAAAGCAGAGCTACCAGACAGTCCGTCTAATAGTTACAGGACAAAAGAAGCTGGTGTATTCGGGAATCCTTCGGTTCCTCTCTCGGCTGAGACACCGGTTATCCTGACCAAGGATTTCTCTAGCCTTCCTCAGTCCCTCTAAGGAAATGTCAGGATATTTCAATCTGGCCACGACCACTTCTTTCAAAACACCTCACTCTTTACTTGCTGTACTGAAGTCGACGTAAAATAAAACAAAGAAACAGAAGTCCTGTGAATGTGCACTGCTGTTTCGTAAACAAATGTATGGGTAACTGATTCAAACAAAAATATTATGACGCATATGCTCATTGCTAAGCAACGGCTCGGTAAACACATTCCCGCAACACATGCGCAAAAAATAGGGCATCCACTGCTAGGTAACGGACCGATAGACGATCGTTCTGGACAACAGTAGACGTCCACTGTAGGCAATGGACGTGCTTTCTATGCAGTCCATCTCGAGGCTATGTAAGTAGTATACAACAGAGTCCTAAGTCAGTCAGATACCCGTATGGAGGCGGGGTCGAATGCCTCCACCGTGACCCTGCGAGTCATAGGAAGCGACAAGAAGGGAAGTCTCAAATCTGAGATAATAAAATATGGTCGCGAATCCCAAAGGACTCGGACCCGAGAAAAACTGCGCTGGCAAGGACAAACAGCATATACAAAAGACGGACCCGTCCTCACGTCAGAGAGGATGCCCCACAAAAACAATATCGTAAATGTCAAACAGTAACAAATATCTGGTCACAAGCCCCACTGACTGACTGACCGTCAGTCGCAATGTGACTTTGACTTCTAAGTTAGAATGGAGAGAGTGCGGCAAGTATTAGGCGAGTCCTAAGCAGTCAAGGAAGAAGAGTTCGGCTGATGATTTATTGTGGGTTATTGTAATTGAATTGAAATTGGAAGGTGCTATGGCATGGAAATGAATGTGGAGAAAACAAAAGTAATGAAAACTTCGAGACAACCAACCCCAGTCTCAATAAAGATAGACCAAAAACAACTGGAGAATGTGAAATGTTTTAAATATTTGGGTAGCTTGTTAACAGATGATGGAAGGTGTACTAGTGAAATTAAATCCAGGATTGCCATGGCAAAAGCTGCATTTAGCAAGAAGAAGAATCTTTTTACCAGCAAATTGGACTTAAATTTGAGGAAGAAACTAGTGAAATGCTACATTTGGAGCATAGCTCTGTATGGGGCTGAAACATGGACACTTAGGGCAGTAGATCAGAAACATCTGGAAAGTTTCGAAATGTGGTGTTGGAGAAGGATGGAGAAGATCAGTTGGACCGATTATGTGAGAAATGAAGAAGTGTTAATTAGAGTCAGTGAGCAGAGGAATATCCTACACGAAATAAGAAAACGGAAGGCTAATTGGATTGGTCATGTTTTACGCAGAAACTGCCTTCTAAAAGAAGTTATTGAAGGAAAGATAGAGGGGCGGATAGAAGTGACAAGAAGACGAGGAAGAAGACGTAAGATGATGCTGGATGACCTTGGGGACAGAAGAGAATACTGTCATTTGAAGGAGAAAGCTATAGATCGCATTAAGTGGAGGAATTGTTTTGGAAGAGACTGTGGACCTGTCGTCTTGACAGATTACTGATGATGATGATGATGATGATTATAATTGATAGTGTTTATGAGTGACTGTACAAGAAATGGTCAATAAATCCAATCACCAATCTATGCCCATAAAACGTGACACTATCCTATGCAATCAGCTGTGGAGATGTTGCTACGTTCGCAAATTTTCGTGTGTTAAATGCTGCTGGTGAATATGAGTGTTGTGTGAAGTGTTTCATTCTATTTTGTCAATAATTCTTCGCCTCGCCCTTTGGATGCAGCAAAGAAACTATCGTTGAAAGTGTAGGGTGAGGTATAATATTTTCAGCACCAATGAGATCGGCATACCGTCAAATAAATCTCGTTCCCTTAATAATGTAGTCAATAGAACAGCATTATTTGGTCACACTGCATCAGCTCAACGTTTTAGCACGTGGACCAATTGCTAAGTAATGACTCATCAAACAACGCCAGTTGTTAGGCAACAGATTCGTAACACGCACCACTGGACTAACTGGGAGGCGATGTTCTCTATGCGGTCTGTGTGACAGCTGCGTATTTTCTGTGCGGTCCGTGTCGATGTGTTATGAGCAGGACAAGTCTAGAATTTAGTTACTTGAACGCAGAACTGTAAGGGCCATGTCTTGGAGGGGGGAGGAGAAACTAAGGGAATGAAAAGATTAAGATGAAGGAAGAGACATAAAAGAGGAAGAAAAGAGAAGAGGAAAGATTATTAGCAGATTAAAGTTCGGTCGATGTTGATGATCATAGTGGGGCTAATGGAGATTGACAGGAAACGAAGTTGAGTGAGATATGGTTAAGAACATGAAAGAAGGGAGACAAAAGAGAAAAAGGAAATTAGTAGTACTAACAAATTAAAAGTCATTTGTATGCCTCACATGCAGCCCTCCCATTGTTAACATCAAAATTTCGCCTTAATATAGCTCTCCCAACGTTAACAAATAAATAAATAAATTTAAAAAAAATCCGATCATATGCTCTATCTTTACCAGAAGGACAAGCGGGCACTGCCTGGGAACCTTCAAATTCGGAGATAGTTCCCCCCCCCCCGATGTAGTGTCTCTCACTACCACCCCCACTTCTTCTCTTCTCTCTCTCTCTGTAATTTAGTTACTTAGGAGATATTAGCCATACCAGTAAGGGGTTGAAAATGGAAGATGAGAAGCTACGGCGTTGGAAGCCGTTACCAGGCGACAACCTTTGAAGATAGAGCAGACTGAGATTTAGTGAGTGTTGTAGTGAATTGCTGAGTGTGTAAGTTAGCGATGGCGATAGAGTTATTTGTAGTTAAGTTCTATAAGAGTTCAATAAATCCAGTTACCAATCCAAACTCTGTCTATAGTCATTCATACTCGTGATAATATCATACAGGCTTATAGAATTTTTATGTCTCATGTTGACATGAAAATGGCAATGTAATAAAAAATGTTGTCGGATTAATATACTGATAATTTATTAAATTCACAAAAGAAGGAACATAATAAAATTTCCAAAACTGTAGTTGCAATAGAAAACTCTTCAAGGCTCTTCGCTTTCTCCCCCCATTCAGCAATTCACTATTGCGTCATACTCATCTCTGACCACTGCATTACGTGTACAATAGCCCTGACTATGCAGCACATTATCTCAGCTTCGATTTTTAAGTTGGGGCCTTCATCTCTGACTTGAAACTTAGCTGGTTACAAAGTACGTAATTAAGTCCAGAAGTGACTAAAGCGTGACCCAAGATAAGGTATCTCGGCAAGTAACACCATATTCGCGGGGTGGGGGGAATCTTTCGGTGTGTTTGTCTGTTTATTGGGCTTAGTGACCTCATAAATTTGGGAGCGCGGCAGCATAGTTGGCTGAGGCACTATACTACAAACCGGAAGGTCGCGGGTTCGATTCTCGAGATTATTGACTTTTTCAATTGACCTAATCCTTCCAGCCGCACTATGTCCCTGGGTTCAACTAAGCTTCTAACAGAAACGAGTACCAGGAATGTTCCTAGGGGTAAAGGATTGCCGGCGCGTAAGGTTGACATCACCGCCATCTGTGAGCAGACTGTCTGGAAAATGTGGGAGCCTCGACGTCTCACGATCACAAGGGTCTCCACGGCTTGTCACAGGGATAGCTTTACCTTTACATTTACCTTTATATTTAGTAAAGTAAATGAAAGCGTTTTGAAAGGATTTAATAGTGGAATATAGTATTTCCCGCTCATGCGGAAAAGGAACGCAAAGGTAAACCTGGTCAACCCTGAACATACTTCATTTAATTACCGGCAAAACCGATTTCCTCTGCCCTCCAAAATCCACGGGTCCCGTTCCGGTCGATGCCTGCGGGAACTGATAAAAGAGAGCAATTTTTGTAATCTCATAGAGAACTGAATATGCAAGAAATCCGCAAAAACGCTTGCGCACTATGAATTATAGAACGCCGTATGGAGTAGTGCAGCTGTGACAAGCAAATTCAAATTGTGCCTTAAATATGAAGATTTCTTATGTAATGTTTTGGAAGAACTTACGACACATTTCTACGTCTTACGTCAACAGTCTCTCCCTCTCTTTATTATGAGGCAAAGAGAAGTCTTTAATTAATAATAACCAATTTATGTGCATAATTTCTGCAAGTAAATATAAGACTTAACTGTGCAGTAAATTTGTTAAATATAACTTTAAAGATTCTCATGTTCGCCATGTTTAAACTTGTTATCCTATAAAAATGTTTCACAGATAATTATATCGTGACATGACGCCAGAAAGCTGCAATCTGCCCATCTGCTGGGCGGGGCTTCCCTGAGCACGTTCCCGTGGCAACACGGAAGGCGCCGCTGCTGGGCGGCGAATTGTTGGAACACGTTTCCACAGCAACGAATATGACCGAAAGAGCAATGCATTGCATACGGAGTCACGTCGATTCCTAGACAACGCATACAGAAACGCTTCCTTTCACACGGCAACGAACCTCCAAGTATAGTGTCGGCGAAAAATGCATAACTATACTGTCGAGGGAGGTGACGTCTGCACGGTTCGCAGAATGTTTGTAACAGGAGATTTTGCGAGACGAACTCAGTCAATCATTACGGAATTACTTAATTACGGAGCCCAAGAGAATACGACAGAACGGTAAAGAAGAGAAGACTAGAGACTAGTTCAAGATCCAAAGAACAGCGAGAGATTTATTATCCAGGAGTAGTTACACGTGTGAACTGTTGTAATCAAGTGAAATTTTCAACGGATTACAAGGTGTGATTTCCCAGACGACAAAATTTCTCATAACCTACAAGACTCAGCAATGATCGAAAAATTATCCTATGAACCCCTACGATATGCATTTGAATCCCTGGCTACTAGACACTGACAGCCAAATTCAGGTTTGGTGATAGTGGGATTTATGTTGTCACTTGGCGTCTGAACGCCGGAATAGTTCATTGTTAGGCAACTGATCAGTAAACACATCCCCACGAGAGTAAAAGAGAGCGAAGAAAGAAGAGCGGTGTTTTCTGCGAGGGTCGCTCCGAAGCTATATAACGAAGGTCTCAGAGAGCTAGAATTAGAATTGAGTAGAGTCCCGGAGTTGGCAGTTGCAGCAGAGAATTGAATTCAGAGTCGCCGAAGTTGGCAGTTGGCAGGATAATTGAGAAGAAAGGTATTAGGCTGAGCAAAGAAGACTTCATATTGTACTGCAGTTACAGGGAGACTGTTATGAATCCGTTGCCAGGACATTACTAGTCAAGGCTGAGTACACTAGTGTGTGTGTAACAATTAACTGTAAACTATGGAAATAGCGGTAGCGCTCTAATTGCCTGTGATTCAGATTGGTGTGCATAAGGTGTCCATAAATCCAATCAACCTATCCATACCCAACCTAATAAGTCACGCACCCCTCCCCTGCCCAAGTAAGTAAAGAATGTGACGCTAGTCTTGCTGGGGCTTTCTGAAAGAGCGCATGCGTCGGCACATTTGCGCGACGCACGGACGACAAGACGAAGCACCCACCTTGCTGTCGTGGTTGAAATTGTCTCGGATGAAGAGGGCACCGACCGCCATCCCAAGTTTCTTGTTGGTCCACTCGACACACTGGCTCCAACGGTTTCTGTCGCTAAGGATGCCCAGGAGGATCTTGCGGAATTCAACGCGCTTCTGTTGGTACTCGTCAATCATGTGTGGCATTATGTTCATCACTAGCCGCCATAGCACGTAGTTGTGAATCACCCTGCAGCAAGAAATGAAGCTGGATTACCGTTTCGTACAATGTATGAGCAGTGGCGGCTACCGCTGAGAGTAATCTTGCGCATGTCCTTAAAAATATGAGCACTGGGACCGGGGTTCGAATCGTTTTCCTTTTTTAATTTCTTGAAATGTGGTGAGACTGAGTCCACTCGGCACGTCGGTCAGTAATTGGCCTATTCCACCAGCCCGAGATGATAGATGAGTGCGGAGCAGTCAATGGAATGAGAATTGGCAGGAGAAACCAAAGTACTCGGAGAAAACCTGCCAGTGCCGCTTTGTCCACTACAAATCACAAATAACCTGACCTGGGCTCGAATCCGGTCCGCCGCGGTGGGAAACCGGCGAATAACCACCTGAGCTATGGCACGGCCTAGGTTCGAATCCTGCTCGGTAAATATTAACTATATTCATAAGACAATGTGAGTATTTCAAGTTTTGGTAACTGCTAAATGCATAAGACAGATGAGCATAAGAAATGCTGTACTCATATATTTTTGTGTCAGGTTTGTCATTTGAGTATGAAATCCATTTGTAGTTCGCAATCCATATGACGCCAGTGAACAAGGTAATATTGATAATCGGGTTATCTATAAAGAATGGCATCGCAGTGTTTAATGTTATACGAAAATAATACAAATCACTTGCGAAGTGCGACCATCATCAGGCGCGTTGAATTTCGGGGAACTGCTGTGCCTTCCGCGCTACTCCGATCGGTGTTTTCATGTTTACAGCGTTTCTAAATGAAGTAAATGTTCCTCCTTATATTCCACATGCAATATTTTTGGCATACTTGTTACCTATCAAGTGAACAGTGCGAATGTTATTACTAAATTTACTTAATTTAACAAGCATTTAAATACGAAAAAAACAATCGCAGTAGCGCGGAAGGCGTAGTAATTTCACCGAATTTCAACGCGCCAGATGGTGGCCAAGTAGGCCGCAACATATAGTGCAGTAACGGCATTTAAAAGGATTGAATTTTGAATTTTGATACTGTTGCATGGAGGACGGTAAACAACTGAAAATAAAATCATACCACCATTGTTCCACACTCATCCATCACCGACGCCCTGAGGTGTGCAACAGCCCTCGCGTCTTCGGCCTTAAATTTGGGAGCTTCATCCCTGAAGTGAGGAAGTTTTCCTTACAGTGAATAATAATTATCGGGATAACTGTAGCTTGTAACCTGCGATCCGTCTTCTGGATGATTCGCCCCATCTCCACGAAGTAGGGCATAGCATAGCTGACGACAGGTTCGCTGTGGTCGATGTCCGCATGAAGAAACGCTGACAGGTACTCCAGCCAGTTCAACTGCGGCACCTCTCTCTGAAGCTGAGCCAGACTCAACTTTCTGTAGATGGCACTAGTGTCGTGACGATCTGCTTCCGGTAGTGACGCCTAAAAAAACGGAAGTCCTTTTTTATTTACTGTTAGCCTCCTTTCCTTATTTCGAAAAATTAAAAGAGGATTATGAGTTGTCCCCCAACTTAAAAAAAAACAAACATAAAAGAGACTTATGAGATCACCTTGCTGTCTGTGTGTCTGTATCCCTCCAATTTTTTTGTTTCATTCTGTATGCGCTCCGTGTCGTATCAAAGGAAAGCAGGCAATTAGTTTTTCCCTCAACTTTCTGTTACTCTATATTAGGGTCATGCCATATTTCAGCCGGTTAGTCGCCGGCTTCCCACCGCGACGGCCCGGGATCGAGTCTGAGTGTAAGTCATAAAATACAAACATATTGAGGCCATGTCTTAGTTGAGTACTGTCTAAATATTTACCCGGAAGCAATGCACAGGATGTCCTAACCAGAATGCATCCGTTGCATTATAAGAAATCATTGACTTAATCACATTAGAACAGTTCTGGCCAGTACTCACATTGGCGAGTTCCTTCTCGAATCGGATAACCTCTTGGAGTTCCTCAGCTGCTTGGCTGGCGTTAGCGCCCAGAAGCTTTGCCACCTCGGTCATGTAGCGATGGTACGCCTTTAAATCACCTTCAGAATCAGCTTTCAGATAGTAATCCCTGCTGGGTAAAGCCAGCTGCATCTGGTCCAACTAGAACAGTAGCACGTGTCTCTTTAATGTAAGATTAACATAGGAATGAACCTACACACATACTGTGCAGAAGCTGGTAAAGCCTCATACCGGTATTTGCCACCAGACAGGGACACGTTCCAGCAATCGGAGAGGTTACTCTTTCATATGGCAGGTGCTCAGGTTGCGTTGTCGTGATGAATTACGCGTGTGCATTATACGCGCGGATGCGAATTTTTCCAAGGGGGGGGGGACAGAAAATTTGTTTGCAAACTTAGGCCTCTAGTTCAATTAAATTAAGAATGTCTATACTGTAAGCCGAACAATTATGTGTTCCTATAGAATAAAATTATATTTTAAAAGGATAATTTTCAGCACACTTTTATTATTTTGAAAAAATAAAAGAAAGTTTATGAGATCACCTTTCTCTCTGTGTGTCTGCCTATCAACTTTTGGTTGCCTGAATCAATTTTTATGAAACCTTGTGTATATATCATGGCACTTGAGCCAATTTCAATGGCGTACGTAATAAATTCCTCCCATCAGCCCAAGTGTAACCCCTTATCGTTGTCATGCAACAGATCGTCAAACAAGTTCCTGCGGCAACGAATATACACGACACGTCATTTTATTTTCGATTCGCGTCGTATCAATAGAGAGTCTGTGTGTTTGCGTATCCCCTGTTTTAGTATATGTACTGTCGAAACGGCGGTCTGAGGGCTCCCAAAGCCTTCAGAGAGTAAAATATGATCATGGGTCCTGTAACACTCGGAACCAAAACTCACTCTGCTGGCGAGGGCCGGCAGCAAATTACTGGATTGGACAGAACTCGACTGTGTATCCTCTATCGTTGCTAGGCAACGGTTGTGTAGACACGTTCCTGAGTCAAGGAAGAAATGTTAGAGGCGTCGTTTTCTATGCGGGCCTTATCATATCAAAGAAAAGTAGGCGATTGGTTCTTACCAGAACCTCTTGTTATGTAGTATATTCCCCTCCTTTTGTATATCTTTTAGACAAATGCATGGGGCTCCGTCGACCCCCTCTGGACACCCATGTATTATACTAACGATATATGTTCGTTATTATCCGTTACATGTGATATATCTGATACAGTTCATGATTGGTTTAGACATGTTTAGAGGGGACTGATTTAAATTGAACTGAAAGATTTATTAATTTTTATACTTATAATCTATGAATGTAGTGACATACTGATTGTCTATGACAGGCATGTCCAACGCGTCGATTGCGGGACGATTTTTGGTCGATCTCATGGGCCTATAAGGAAATTATACGTGAAAAGCGTGTAAATTTACTTGTAATATAATATGATTATATTCAGATTTTGAAGGGAAAATACGCGTTAAAGTAGTCTGTACTTTCAATGTATGTTGCTTTTACAACAAACATCATGTGTCGTGTTATTTTAACCAATATTTTTGCTTAAAGCGATGTACGACGATAGGAGAGGGTGGTAGATCACTGGCAGTTTTGACACTAAAAAGTCGATCACAAACTGTTTGAAGTTGGACATGCCTGGTCCATGAGATTAAGAAACTACAGTGAAACGAAAAGTTTCACAGATGCTCTATGTTCCAGAGGAATCAACAAAAAATATGAATTAATGAAGATAAAGAAATATTACAGATTATTTTAATTACTATTATATCCTCTAACTCTCAGTTAAGAAGCAAAACGCCTAGTTCAAAAGCAGCCGGCAGTTGTAGTGAAACATATTAGCTACAAACCACTTTCATAATGACGAGAAAATGCTTAACTGACATATTTCTGATTCTATGAAGCTTATTCATTATACAGTTATTATCATAAATTTCTGCCCAGTTCATGACACGAAATTTCGGCAGTTAGATCTGCTGTCATGACAACCAATCAGTTGAAGATGACAGTAGAGCATACTACCGAAAAGTTGAGTCAGCAAATGGATAACGTTCAGTAATATTCTTATAATGAATAACTCTTAGAAAATCATAAAAATACTGGTTAAACATTTTATCTTAATTATCAAGGTGATTGTTGGCACTCTCTTTTAATATAACCGCCGGCTCCTTGTGAAGTAGGCTTTTCACTCTTTGCCTGTATGTCCTGTTCTTCTTCTCAAACACCCTCATGGCTTCAATGAGTTACTGTATGTCTCCGTAACTTCTGCTCACCACCGTGCTTCCTTAATATTTCATTTGGAGAAATTGAAAGCACTTGCTTCTCTTCATCAGGTTCTATGAATATGTATCAGCCAATAGAGTTTGTATATCTTTAGGGTTCCTAGGGGCCATGTTTCCTACTTCTAAACTCTATTAGCGAGATGCGTGTCTGTACTTCCGACACTAGAACACCAATTAACCTGAAATTCGGTATGAACATCATACGGCCAACGGCAAATCAGCCTTCATAATTTCCAACTCCCTGTCTTAAAATATACCAACATTGCGGCTGTGCGAACTGGTGAAATTACATATTCGATACACGGTTCTCATCAGTATCATAATGACTGGTCCTTAGGAAATGTGGAATTTTGTGCTGAATGACTTTTTGAGGAAAGACTGGAAAATAAATACATGAGAAGGTGAAATAAATTTCTCTGAAGATCCATCTTCACTTGACACCTTACAGAAGCCATGTAGTGTAAGGTATATTGGCCTCTGTAACTAAGCACAAAGCCATTACATCGTGTGGGTGGCTCGAGGTAATTTTTCACGAAGTTTCTCTTTCGATATTAGCTGGAGGTGACTATATATTTGTTGTTCACCGCAGGGAAAGAGCCCCCACCCCTCTCCAATTGGCTCTGTCACTGAGAGGGCTGCAGAGCCGGTCTTGATATGGTGAGTAAATTCTTAGTACTTACACCACGTAGACTAAACTGAATACAGGGGCATAATATTAACTACTGGCATGCAGTTAAAGGTCATTTGGCTCTCAAGAAAGCAGAACATAATAACAACAACGTAACAAATTAAAGCAACAAGTAATAGGAGAATTTGGAAAAAGTTCACACGAAGATAAGCGGGGTCAGCTACTGCACAATGACACGAAGTCGAGCATAGATCATGACATTTTAAAATTAATTTTAACTCAATCTTAAAATTGTTAATTTTACATAGAAACTCATACCAATCCCAATTCAATTCAAAATCCAATAAGTAGTATATAAGTAAACAATAAGAAGTATACATAACATACGAGTATAGCCACTTCACGGATTATGTATGCAAACTAGGAACGTAAAGGCCTGTCCACATTACTCGTGCTCGTGCGTCAGAAGCCTACTACTGCCGGAAAATCAGGATCTGAGCTGATATCTGTGATGAAGAAATGCGAAGGCTTTGTATGCAAATCAGTTTGGGCGTCCACTTCGTCAGCTCCAGATCCTGATTTTCCGGCAGCTGTAAGCTTCTGACGCACGAGCACGAGTAATGTGGACGGGCCTTAATGATTAACACTAGTAGAATGATAAGAAATATTCAGACAAGATCGCGCGTTACAATTCAATAATTAATCGTGTAATTAAGAACATCTGAAAATGATCCTTTAAGAGTCGGAACACATAGTGTGGTTTAAATTAATAAACATTTGCTACGTTGACGGCTGAACTTGTAAATTTAATGTTGCTAATTATTAGTAATGTTAAAATCTTATGAGCAACAAACTGTAACATGCCCAAGGCGAAAGCACCTGACGTTTCTATAAGGTAAAGTTGTCCCTGTGCTTAACTAATGTAACACTACGCCATGAAGACGTATGGGGGGTGCGGGTGGATGTATAGACCCAGGTTTTCTTGACCTCGGCGCTAGTTGGAGGTGAGTGGTCAGCTTCACGCCCCTTCCGCTTTACCACCAGGGAAAGAACCTCCGGTACCCATTGGATAGGAGGCTGGGTAGGACCCAGAGCCGGTCTGGACGACGCGGAGAAGAGAACATTTTGCCCCTACCGGGAATCGAATTCCGACCCCTTTGTCGTCCAGCCCGCAGCCAGTCGCTATCCTGGCTCTCTCTGACATTTCTATAACGAAGAATAAATTGCTAACACTCTGAAGGAACAACAGAACTGTCCTGCTGCTTTCACAGTGACAGAGATGTGAAAGAGGCAACTGCAGCTTGCAGGAAGTGGATAAAGTTTCCGGCCACAGATGTGGAGGGTGATGTGGGGATAACGAGGTCAGTTACACAGCCGAGGCTCCGTATCTTCTTCTTACTTTGTCCGCACCTGGAGGATGTTCACCGAGGAGTTCTTGTCGTCAGGGCCGACCCACTGCTCGATGAGCACACCCTCGTTGTATTCCCCTCTCAGACGACCCAATAATGTTTCGACGGAGAATTCGGGTGGTTTCCAGTTCGGTTGAGTCACTGGCCAACCTCCTAGGGACGCCAGAACTTCACGCAGAGGGCCATCTCCTAACTTCCGGATCTGGGCTGCAAGAAAGAGAAGAAAGGTTCGTAGAAGAAAAGAATGTGAGAAATGGGAAGAGAACTATGAATCGATATGATAATTTCTCCAATTGTATGAAATTCCCCATCCTGCACAATCTGCCATCTGTAAGCATGGAGGTGAAGACTGGTATGGACAACCCTCCAGACAGTCGTCTGTGGCATGTCTAACTGCAAAGAATCTCCTCTAGTTGAATTTTGTGGGCTTCGAGAAAACTCTTCCTGGATGCCATCGACACCTTCCTGTGAGGTGTTCGTTCTCCCCGATCCTTTTCGGTGCAGGAAAATACCGGTCTCTTGAAATTGCTTTAACCAATGTCTGATAGCATTATCTGAATGTGGATCTTTTCCATGTTGAGTTCTGTACCGACGTTGCGTTTTGCAAACGGACTTTGTTTCGAAAAACCGAAGCAGCCATTTTGAGTCATGACGACATATTTCCTCCCAGATATCAATGCAGAGAATACAACGTTGCCACAAAGCCTTTTCAGTTACACTTTCATATTCGGTAAGCAGTTTTATTTTCTTATTTGCATCAATATCGCGACAATAATTTAGAATGATATTGTGTATTCTTTCAGAAATTAAAAGCTGAATCACATTTTTCTTTGACTTTTCCATTCTAAGTCAAACAAGAGATAAAGAACATTCGTCAGAATCTAACTGGAATGCGTTTCGTAATATTGCATGAAATTAACCACACATGGGATTAAAAAACTGTTGGCCTGGCCACCCTGTCACTTCGCCTAAATTCCGTCATTTCACGTCCTGGCCATGGACAACAAAATAGAGTCCATATGGCCTTAGCATGAACAAATTCGGCTTTTTGCTTCGTTGCAAGCAGTTCATCAGAAGAGTTCAAACCAGATTCTTGAGATATAAATGGATTTTAAAGAAACTGATGTTAAAATAATAGCAAAAAAAAAAATCACAGTTCCGTACAGAATTACACCCTAACCAAGGTAGAAGGCAAGAAACAAATTTGTTAATGACGCCATGCATCCGTGCTAGCGAAAAGTAGGCATCTTTTCTCCTTTTCAGCCTTACTGCCCCTTTCACCAATCTGCCTGACCACGGTGAAGAATTCCACATCTCATTCCTTTGGCAACATTGCCAATAATCGAATTCCCATGACACCTTGCGAGTAATGAGATTGGAGTCCTGTGTCCCCCCTCCCTGCTAGTGCTACAATGATAAGCTTCATTGTTTTCCACTCCTATATTGCTCCTAGCACTCGTAATTTTGTGAGCGTGTAGAGCAGTTACTATGAGACGATCGCGAGATAAGCAAAAGTACCAGAGCCATTTACAGGCAACGGCTCGGTAAACACGTTCCTGCAGCAACGAATCGACGCGCAACAAGAGAGAAATGGGGTGTTTCTACGTGGTCTGTGCCGAGGAGTTATCTTGAAGTCAATTGGAGCGACCCAGTCAGTTCTGCACGGGAGTCTGTAAAGACAGGACTTGAGCTCGTGAAGCTGAAGATTGTTCGCTTTTAGAAGCTGTTGCCACGGAAGGCTGCTGAAGACACAGCAGGATGGAAAAGGCTTAGCGTGTAGGGATTTGTAATAGTGTCATAGTTATTTTCAGTCACGACCCCTAAGTGGTCAATACATCTAATATCCAATCTAAAACCATACCGATACTTGAAAGTATCTTATTACTCTTTCTTTTCGTGGGGTGAGGCTGAGTCCACTTGGTACTGCGGCCACTATTGGCCTATTGTACTAGCGCCAGATTACAGATGACGATGACTGTGGAGTATTATATGGAATTCGAATTGGCAGAGGAAACAGAAGTACCCGGAGAAAACCTGCCCCAGAGCTACTTTGTCCATCACAAATCTCATAATTCTTGACCCGGGCTCGAACGCCGGCCGTCGAGGTTGGAAGCCGGCGACTGACCGCCTGAGCTATGGCGCGGCCTTACAAAATATTAATAAATTTCCAAATTAACTGCTCATTAGCACAATTGGTGACACTAGAAAAGCCATTTTATAAGTTTTTCTAATGTTCCGGAGGACAACCCCTTTTAGAACCAAATTCATCCTATAATGCACCATTCTCCAGCTGCCTTCCTTCCCTTTTCCGTCACAGTCTACTCTCGACCAGCGGGATCAATGGTTGCCCATACCTCCTTGGTTCATTATCTGGCCCTAAAATGGGTCATATGGTAACTTATCCCTGTGCATTGTTTATACTGCCCTGGACTTTGTACCAGCCCCATCCTTCTTCCCGGGGTTTGTCAAACAAAAACTCACCCTTCCTACTCACTGAATATGGAGGCAGAAAGTCCCTCCGAAACTTCGTCAACACTGCCCATATCCACACGTTGCAAATGCCCAAGATCAATTTCAGCATGAGCTATGAGAATAACTAGCGTTGGACTTACGTATGTTGATACACGAGTTGTAGAATCGCTTCGCCTTTTGCGTTGCCTCACTATCGTGCCCATTGATTGGCTCTTCCAAAACTCCTGCAACAAGAAGCAGACAACATAAGTAAACTAGGTCAGACCGAGCGTGCTGCTGGATCTGTGGTAATACCACGTGGCAGAAGGCCATTTTTCTCTCGTTCCTTGAAAACCATCTGTTGCTGTAGAGATTTCTATGTCGTTTTATACATAAAAGCATCCCTTCTCTTTCACAGAGGTCAACATAGTTTCTAGCTTAACTCTTTAAAACTGAGTCAAAGTCAGATTTACTTTACGACTGGAGGTTTACTGCCAATCAGTTCCTCTTGGCGAAAATCCCCTTGAGACTCACGACCAGATTCTTTTTCCAACTAAACACTTGCGGTCATAGTCCTTATGAAATATCCTCTCTGCTGAGAGGATGAGTCTGTCGTTTACAATTGGTACTGGCCCCCACCAGCGCAGTCATTCTCATGTCCGATGCGGTTTATTGTCTCAGATTCGAGACTCTCCCAACCTGGAGGGCCAGGTCCCCGTATTTATGTCGTTCAGGAAGAGGGTTGTGTTGTGTAGACGGTATATTCTATATATAACCAGGAGGATCTACAAATACTTATAACACTTCAAAAGTTTTCTTTTTTCTTTTCACTGGCTCTACAGCCCCCTTGGGCCCTGGCCTCTTGTCTTCAGTTTAATAACCATATTACAAACACTTGGGACTCCTTAGACGAGCGAACGAAGACAGTACGTGCTATAGATCGCTCGGCTACAGTAACGGGCGCTTCAAAACGTTACTGGAACAATCACACACAAAGTCTTCAACACTTCCACACTTAGATGCTCCTTGAACGAACTCGGTGAGCAGGTCTACACCAAATTTCTTCTCTTGTTCTCGGACTGGCCTTCTACTACTCGGTGAGACTCTCCAGTATATCATCTTGTAGCCTCTCTCTCTCTCTCTCTCTCTGAGGTAGGTTTTGAACGAACCGTATAGAGATCGCCGTCTCCAAGGGTCCCTACTTCGCGTATCTGTCTTACTTTGCCGTGTGAACAACCTTTACCTATCTGTTGTAATTGAAACTTTTCTGTATGTGTTGCCTAGGACTCGAAGTGTTTGTCATAAACTCGATGGCGTGCTTCAACAAGCCGTTACCTAGCACTGGATTTACATGTCACAATATTAAAACTCTGAATTCTTCCCAAAGAGTATATTTTTGTTTCATATGATTCTTACAATAAGAAGCTTTTATTTTCTTAACAGCAATAACAGGTTGATTTTTATAGCGGAAACGTAATGTCTCCTATTAGGTATGAACTAAACATTTCTGTATGATTTATAAGAAGTTCAGTTTTTTAGGACTGCGAAAATGGAAATATTAATGTGGTAATATTTATTTGTTTATTGAATCTGTTGTGTTGACGCTTTTATAATAATGCTGTATATATTCCTATTATGTTACAATCTGAAAATAAAAAAAATCCACAGGATTGTGTCACATTTCCCTTTGTTGAACTTTGCATGTACAAAAGACAGACCCGTCTCCTAGTCAGAGAGGGCGCCCACGAAAAAAAAGAAAAGACCGTAACTGTCAAACAGTAATGAATATCTGGCCGCAAGCCACAGATGGGTGCTATATGCCAAGACAGACTGGACGACTGACCGTCGAACGTAAAATGAGACTCATCGAATTCAATTCATTCATTCGTAATAGAATTCAGACGGCAGTTCAATACTTGAATATTCAGCTGTGAAGTGTTAACCAGGTAAGATTCGTTACCGATCAATGACTAGTAAGCAGACGTTGAATACATTATTTTGTGTAATCTCTAGAGTGTTACAGTTCAGCAGATAAGTTTTTATGTGTTTCTCTATGTTCACTTTGTCATTCGGCATTTAACTTTGTTCCTTTTGGTACATTATTACAATTATCTTCTTCTAACCGTTTCATTTTCCTGTACTATCTCATATATGCAGCATGAGTAAAACAAACGGACATCTTATCAGTGCGTGACGTCATACACTGGGAGCTGGCCTGTAGAATTGTGTCAGCCACTAAGCAGTAGAATTGAATTAGCCGTATTTGTTACAAACAAATGGTCATAAGTCCCAAACCGTAAGCGATGGACCAAAACGGGTTGCATTTTGAGAAGTTCGTATTTATTAATGCATTTCACTCGCAATATGTCCGATCCATCTACGCGCTTCGCTGAGCACATTTGCAAGGTAACGAAGTCAACAATAGAACGTCGATTATTTAGTAGCGAAGGTATCAATAATCACAGATTTTACACTTATTTTCCTCTTACGTATGGTGGGGGTTACAGTGGATCTACACGTTCCAAATGAAATTGGCCCTGTAGTTTTAATGTAGAAGTTTCCATATGAAATTCCAGCAAATTTCAGTAAGTGGTTATGTATGACGAAACGGTTGGACTCATTGACACCCGGCTACTTTCTTATAGCTACGTGTTCAATTCTCGAACATCATTCACGCATCGTATAGGGCCAAACACATTATTATTATTATTATTATTGTAACGTGTTTACGTTACAGAAGACGCCGTAGAGATCGTTAACTGGTTTATTGAACAATCTACAACTATCGGCTACACTNCATTATTATCATCATATTATTATTACTGGGAGTCGGGATTTCTAAGTCTGTGTATCGACAGGCTGCGGAATGGATAGCTTAGGTTAGATTTCTGGCAGTGCAAGGTATTTATCTTCTCCACAGCGTACAGACCGACTCTGGGCCCCCCTCGGCTATACAATATATCAGTGTATACTAGAGGCCGTTTTCCCCGGAAGTAAAACAGCAGGGACATGAAGTTGACCGGTCACCTCCATCTATTGCTGAGGTTAAGAACGGTGTAACTAAACTTCCACTCCCCCATATATCTTTATTGCATAATGCTTTACTAATTAAGCACAAAGACCACTGTATCTTATTTTTGTAGCGTGTAGAACCGTTACTACGCAACGACCCAGAGATAAGTAAATATACCAGAGCTGTTTCTAGGCAACGGCTCAACAAACACGTTCCTGCTGCAACGGATACGCATTCAACAATAAAGGTGTTTTGAAAACGGTGTTTTCTATTCGGTCCGAGCAAAGGGATTATAAGGAGCACAACCGACCGTCAGTCGCAACTCAAATTTTTGAAATTAAAAGCTCCGCGGCCCCTCTCTCTCAACTCTCTCAAGTCGTTGCTTCTAACCATCTTAACGCCTACACTTTCACTTTACTCTTACCAGAAGGACGAGCGGGCAAAGCCTGGGAACCTTCTTAAATCGATGCTCTTTCTTTCTTTCTTTCTTTCTTTCTTTCTTTCTTCTTTCTCTTTCTCTCTATCTCTCTCTCTCTCTCTCTCTCACAGTGTCAGTCGCAATGTGACTTGAACAAGAATAGGCAAGAGTCCGCGTGGAGGCGGGTCGAATATCTCCACCGTGACCCTGCGAGTCGTAGGAGGCGACGAAAATGGAAGTCTCAAATCTGAGACAGTAAAATATGGTCGCTAGTCCCAAATACTTCCACCGTGACCCTGCGAGGCGTAGAAGACGATGAAAAAGAAAGTTTCAAATCTGAGACAGTAAAATATGGTCCCAAGGGGCTCAGACCCGAGAAAGACTGCACTGGCGAGGGCCAGCAGCATATACATAGGTCAGAGAGGGCGTCCCACAAAAACAAGACCGTAAATGCCAAACAGTAATAAATATCTGGTCATGAGCCCCAGATGGGGCTCGACACCAAGACTTACTGACTGGCTGACCGTCAGTCGCAATGTGTCTTGGACTTTGACTTGGAAGAATAGGCAATTGGAAGGTAGCAGCCTTTCAGAGAGGACTTGAGCCCGGAACCGGAGGAATAGCCATTGTTTCAAGCCGTTACCAGGCAACTACTAGTGAAGACACTGCGGGCTGGAGAAGACAGCGTGATTTTATACAGTGTGGAAATAGCGATTGTGTTATAATTATTTGTAGTTACGACCTGTAAGCAGTCAATTAATCCAACATCCAAACCAATCTAAAACCCCTTCTATAGTCACTGCATACTGCGTGACATTATTATTATTATTATTATTATTATTATTATTATTATTGCTGTTGTCGTCTTCGTCTTCGTATTCATGCGTACAAATACATTTGAGTTCGTGATGAACTCACAATCTTCGTACTTAGATGCTTATACGTACAAAAGCGAAGGTTGGAGGTTGCGAATCGATATTTCTAAATAATTAAAGAGTAAACGAGACCATTTAGAAGCATCAAGGAATCCATAAAAAGAACGAACTCGTGTTCCGGCTGTCGGACACAGAGTGGCCGTGCGGTCTTAAATTGCTTTTACATCAGCGTCGGAGATTCGAAACCCATTCGATGTATGGATACATGATAATGTTTCCTTGCATTCGTAGAAGTCTTGCGGTGGACTGACCACACATTCAAGAATTCCCACTAAATATGTGAGGAATACAGCCTCTCACAATTAATTATCAATCGAAACAGGTCAGAAGGAGTAAATTATGCCTGAAATACCGAGTGATTCTAAATTGTTATCGGGGTCTCTTTGACCAACAATTTTCATATCGAAAACTACATAATAAAATGACTTATGGAATATGAAAGCGAGCTCAATATCTTCTATTACCGACGAATTCATACTTAAGAATGCTCAACAACTGCAACATGCGCCTTTCACGACATGTAATATGTCCAGGCGGTATTCAGTTTCCTAAAATACGCACATCCTTGCGACGAGCTGATCACCCGCCCAAGGAGTCCTACCGTATGTGTAAGATCTAGTAAACCGAAGTGAAACGGAAAGTTTCATGGAGGTAGGCCTAGGCCAAAATTGGGGCTGTAGCGCCACAGGAATAAAAAAAATACGAACATTGCTTTCTCTTGAATTGTCGCCATTTGGAGATATGACCTTATAATTTCTGCCAGACATCAATGCGGCGAGTACAGCGTTGCCAAATAAAAGTTTGGAGTTAAAATTTCATGTTCCTTATGCAGTTTCATTTTGTTTCTTTCTATTTTGGAAATTATGGCCCACTGAAACCCGATAATAATGCAGAATCACACTGTACATTGGAAAAAAACAGGCGGATTTTATTGTTGGTAAATGGGTGCATAGAATTTTTAGATTGGCTGCAAACTCTTCCTACTTTATCTCGTCCTGTAATAATTCATAATTCTCCAACCATACGCAATTCAGCTTTTCATAAAAATGGCAATTTTTAGAGCGACCTTTTCGCCAATCAAGGAACTAAACGAGATTGGCCGCTGAAGTAAGAAGTTTCAAACTGAACACTTACAAAATTTAACTAACTTATTCCTTCTTGATGAGCCAATAGTCGCTCCATTACTAAAAAAATTACTAGCAAGTTATGGAACCCGAAATTTCTTTATTATGTTCACAGGAATCCGCTGTCCAATCGACAACCTTCCTTCCAATTTATTTTATAAACATTTTAATACTCTAACGTGTAGTACCATTGCTATGCAAAGATCGCGAGAAGGAACATGAGTTACTTGGTAACGGCTCGGTAACACGTTCCCGCGGAAACGATATCCAGTCTATCCACAGGCAACCGCCCAAGAAAACAATAGATGGATTGCTAGTGGCGGTGCTTTCTGTTGGGTCTGGCAGAAGTTATACATATAACAAGGATCTTCAGACCGGCTAGAGCACACCTGGTGTCTATGAAGGCATCTTTGCTGATTACTTCTGCATATATGAGACAGACCCCAAAGGGAATTATGTTCTCACAAAACTGCAGCGAGATCTCAGTGCCATTGAGACGTGGCGTGAGCGCTGGAATAAAAAATCAATAACGATAAGACTCAGGGCCTCTGAGACTTATCTTACATTGAATGGACAGAATATCCCCTTCGTCAATCATGTAAAATATCTCGGTGTAATCTTCGAGAAGATGAATAAATGGAGACTGCACATAAAAACGACTGAAGCTAAGACCTTCAGAACATTAATTAAAATTCACTCCCTAATTAAACGTGAGCGTTTAAGCGCCAACACTAAACTAACCCTCCATAAGGGACTGATCAAATAAGTAATAAATTATGCTGCATTTCTTCCAGTTACGTTAACCTGTATTTTCCGGACAGTAAAAATATCTCTCTCTCCTTTCTATATTAAAAAAGAGACCTGTTTAATGTTGTTTGCAGTAGGACTACCATTTTACAATTCAAGTAAAATCATGCAGAAGCCCTCTACAGAGCAGAAATTACCAATATCGCATGGGAATTAGCGAGAGACACATACCTCTTATAATTGGAAGGGCTAAAGAGCAAGGTTCTCCGCTCCGTTGGAAATTTTCTAAGGCGCAAACCGGTCCGCGGTTCGCATACGGTTTTCAACCTTCCATAGGTATACGATATGTAACAAAACTGTACAGGCAACAAGCAGAAGTTATTCAGAATCATGAGAATGAACATGTTCGCAACGTAGGACAAGGCGAATCTAGACATAGAATATATAAGAGACTTAAAATTGGCGGTGGCCAAGCTTACGACCGTTCAAGTGATTACGCTGCCGTTGTAGTATAAGATACTGTGACATGTCAATCCATTGCTAAGCAACGCCCGCAACACACATTCAACCAACATAGAGCAGCAGTGTTTTATTTGTGTCCGCGCATCTTGCGCATGCGCGCTGACGTCACACAATAGTGGGTCAAGTGACGTGCTTTCTCTATGTCCATGCCGAGACCGTTGATAGGCAGCATCCAGCCCACCAATGGACTGGTTGCGCAGCGATAACATGACATGTGTTTTCTATGGTGCATTTCTGTGCCGCGGTTATATAACGAGGTTCCAAGAATAAGAGCTGTGTAGCTGAGAATTCGGCCCAGGAGGTTCCTATCGTACAGTGAATCTTTGAATTAGCTTTAGAGAATTGGGTTAAAGGAGACTTCATAGTGATTTGAAGTGATCATTCCTGTATTAAAATCAGTTGACAGGAAAAAGGTAGTGAAGACACTGTAAAGGCATAGCTATTGTTGAAATCGGTTACATAACAAAGACAGATTAAAGCAGATATAGAAGACTTTATTTTATGTGTTATAGTTACAGTAATCTTCAGAGTGTTACAATCAATTATATTTACGACTTGTGAGTATCCAATAAATCGATTTAGCAATCCAGACCCCGTTTACAAGTCACTAATACACGTGACAGCCGGTGTCAGAAGTGATTACGACCCTAAATGCGTTACAATAAGTAAGATAGCATGATTCGATTTGCAAAGCTTGTGTATAGTGCAAAAGGAATTGCGTGTACTTTCAAGAACATGCTGCATGTCCGATACATGCATTTGATGAAAGACCAAGTATATTCATAAGAGACAAATCCATATTCTCGACAGAGATTGTTACATAAGGATTATGACCGCAAGGGTTCAGTTGAAAAAAATCTCTGGTCGTGAGTCTTAAGGGGCTTGTCTCCAAGAAAAACTGATCGGCGGTAAACCGCCCATCTTAAAGTAACTTTGACCTTGATTTTGACTTTGGCTGAGAGCAGTCCAGTTGAGTGAAATGACGTGAAGTAGCTGGCTGGTGAGTGACAGTGTTTAGTTGACAGTTGAAAGTCGGCCTATGAAGAGAAGACTAGGCGATTGGTGTGGAGTACCCGCCCCTTGGTACCCAGTTAGTTGAGATGTCGGTTGACAAGAGTACTGCGAGGGGGCCTATAATAAGAGTACCTGAATGCGGGAAGCTAAAAAATCTGCCTCGGTAGAAGCCGTTGTCGGCAAAAGTCTAGTGGAGACTCTAATAGACTCAAGACACTAGTCTGTGTGTGTCTGTGATCTGTAAAGTATAGTTTCGTGTGGTGTATATAAGTGGTTAATAAATCCATTCAGCAATCCATACCCCGTTTATAATCATACTCATAAATTCTGACAAGATTATCCCTGCACTTACGTGTGGGTCTCTCTAGCGGTCTTTTTCTTTCAGCTTTCCTGTCAGAAATCTGTATGCATCTCTTTTTTCTTCCATTAGTGCTACGCTCCTACCCATCTCCACTTTGACTTGTGTCAATAATATTTTTGCGAGGAGTACATGTATGAAGCTCCTCATTATGTAGTTTCCACCAGCCTTAGAATATTTCGCTCACAGAGTCGATATTCTTCTCAGCACCGCGTTTCAAACAACTTCAATCCATGTTCCCTTACTGCGATACTTATGTGAGACTAAAGGCAAATTATAGTTTTGTACTTGAATACTGCTAAGTGACAGCTGCGTAATCGACGGCCGTTGCTAGGGAATAGATCTGTGGGCACATTTCCCCGGCACCGAGTGAACACGCAATAATGGAAGAGAAGTTTACTGTGTGGTCCTTGTCGAGGCTATAAAACGAGGATCAACTGTTTATGACTCTGACAAAAGACAGACCCGTCTTCTCGCCAGAGAGGGCGCCCCACAAAAACAAGACCGAACCTGTCAAACAGTAAAAAATATCTGGTCATAAGCCTCAGATTGGGCTCGACACCAAGATTGACTGACGACTGACAGTCAGTCGCAATGTGGCTTTGACTTTGATCACGGGAAAGTCTTGAGACGGCAGGTAGTTGGTGCGAGATAGCCGCCAGCCTGCAAGGACGTGAACCCGGGAAGAGAGGAAAGTATCTTGATTAAGTCATTTAAGAGTTATAGTTGTGAGAAGTGAGAAGCTGGTAGCTGGTACCAAGCAACGGCTAGTGTGGACTGAGAAAACCTTATGTGTGATGTAGTGACAAAGATCTTTGGAGTATGTAGCTCAGTAGGACCGTCTTAATTACTTGTAATTACGAGTGTAAGTGTCCAATAAATACAATCATCAATCCAAACCCCAGACTCTAGTCGCTATCACGTGACAATATGTTTATTACCTTTAAGGATGACCTGTAGTTGGTCTGCAAGCACCTCGAAAGTACTGATGCTGCTCCTGTCCTCTGGGATGACGTGTTTCTTGTTCCAGGTTCCGCAGGCGAACTGGAAGAAGTCAGTGCAAGGATTCGCCGCGCGGTCCATCGCAGCCAGCAGTGAGGCGGCTGTAAGACACAGGGCGCAACATCAGTGTCTGTCGGTCTGTGAGTGCTGCAAGTTCAGGACACTTCAGGGTATAAAATATACAACTCAGTCAGACAACAGATTCTTTTGTAATAATTCGATAACTTAAGGATGTTTGAGTCAATCTTACGTCATCATCAGACCTTTTATATATATAGACACATACAGAGTGTCCCAGGAGGAAATGTCAATATTCTGTGAGGTCATATTATTGAATTTTCTAAGCAAAAGTGTATATGTACATGTGCCCTGGTCCGAATGGTTTGCGAGATACAGCTATTTCACTGTACAGTATTTTGTATTTGACGCCCGATAATGTCCTTCCATCTGGCCGTACTGAGCCACTGCCTGAAGCATGTGAATCGGTGTGGAGCGTTAGTTCACCGTTGTGACTGTTGATAGTGACATTCTAGGAGTGCTGTGGAAAATTCCACACATCTTCACAAAAGCCAAATATGCTGATACTCTGTACGTTTAGTCTTCAGCGATTGGTATTGTCACTGCTGCTGTTCAATTTTCGAAAATGTATTATACTAGGTACTCTGTGCAATATTTGTCACTTGAAAAATAAATACTGGTATTAGAGATAGTACCTAATGTCTCTTTCTTATCAATAATTTTGGAACTGCACTGTGAA